AAGACTGAGAGAATGTAGCTGGTCCAGAGTAAAATAAAAAACAAAAAACCAAGGGAAGATTCGTCGTCCTTTCTGTCATTGTCCACAACTGTCTCGGCATGAAACCTCACTATGTTGTCAAATGCATTCCTGCAGCACGTTTATACCTTCTTTTAACCGTAGGAACCACTAGGATTGCGACTTATGATATAAATATCGCAGTTCATATTTGGGTATTTGTTCTCTACCGCCGGAAACGCAAAATGTCATAACTGACTTTAAAAACGTCCGACTTTTGCCAAATAACCACCGCTGATTTGGAATTTCGAGCGCATCTGCGGAGATAGCTCGCTGACTCAGAGGACTACTAAAGAGGACTGCACATCTTCTTTGTGTATCTTTTCCGGCATTTATTTAGTATGCCGCAGCGAAACACGTGTGAGTCTGTGGGTTACCAGCTACGTGACATGTGTCGATCACTGTATACAAAGAATGTCTAGGGGCTTCAACATTGGGGCTGGTAACAGCGCTTTGTCTATGGAGCCGACCGGAGCAGTTAATCAGATTACGGTCTGTTGGTAATTCGTTCTGACTCTTTGTCTTTGATAGCTCCATGGTGTGGGTAGGCTTTCAGTAGATGCTGCGTGTGAGAGTGCCATTTTGTTTTCTGGAAACTGCAACATCAAGGAAGGGGATACTGCCATCTCTTTCTTCTTCTATGGTAAACTTGATGTTGCTCTGGAGGGCGTCGAGGTGTTCTGCAGGTTGGTTGCTCTGTGCTGCCAGATGACAAAGGTATCGTCGACATACCTGAGCCAAACTCAGGGTCTGTGTTCTGCTGTGGCGATGGCAGTCGCTCAAGTTTCTCCATGAACATATCGGCCAGAACCGAGGAATATAGGTGATCCCATGGAGGTTCCAGCCGCCTGCTCGAGGAACTTGTCACTCCAACGGAAGCTAGATGAGGAGACACAGGTGCGGAGGAGATCTTGAACTTGGTCTGGTGTGAGGTCTGTACTGTCTTTGAGTGTTGGCGATGTTGTAGGCATCCTCGTTTGGGACGCTTGTAACTGTTAAGACGACATTGAAGCTCACAATTATGTCGTCAGGCTGGAAGATGAGATCTTCAATGAAGTTGACAAATTGGTCGGAGTTCTCGACGTGGTGTTCGGTGTTGCCTACGGGGGGGTGTGTGCAAAATCTTGAGGAGCTACTTGGCTGTGTTGTAGGGCGACCTCCCCGGGAGGCCGTTTTTTTGGTGGAGAGGGACATCTGGCTACATGCCTAAAGGTATGATGTACAACATCACACCTTTATGCCGTCAACAATGCGTCCAACAGCGTGCCCATAAAGCTGGTAGGTGAAACATTTTGTTGCTTGTAATGTCAGGATAATATGGTTTTGCCGAAAGGGTCGTGCACTTTCGTAAAATCACCAAACATCAGAGACTTGTATGTATGACTTGTAATCATTCGCAGACATAGCCTTGGCTTATGCCTACTACCTGACTACACGTACCGTGGAATAGGATTAGGTTAAGTACTTCGGCCTATTGGGCAAAGTTCTAGACGTCATTAGTCCCACTAATTTTGGCCTTAAAATTGCAAGTCACTAACAGCTGAAGAACTCTCCATTGATATTTAAGAGTACTAGCGATCTGTATAAGTAGGCCTAGGCCTACTGTGACTTTTTTGACTCTGAAATCGCAAGACTGGGGTGTGGCAACATAGCCCACGTGTTATATCAAAAAAATGTCCCTGAGTCCCCGTTTATAAATAAAATGCGGCAAGCCTCCAGACAGTAACTTAATTTAATTCGATTATGAGGAAGAAGGTTTACAAATCCAACGGAAAAGGAGAAAAACAAGGTAAACATGTACATTAGCAACTATCCGTTTTGTTTTGTCAAGTTCCTGCTCCGCACATTTTTTCTTGTTGCATGGAAAAATGTAAAATGAAATTACAATACCTTTTGCAACTTATTATTCAACTTCTATACATGTATTTCACTTCCTTGATATATAGACAAAGCTAAGCATTTTTCAGTAGTATGCCAAACTGTTCTGCACTTTTTCATGAAAGGTGGGAACGAACTTTCAGTATCTTTTTTTCAAGAAATGTTTGTAGATGTTGTCACCACTCTGACATTTGGCTATTCACAATTAGGAATGGCAACCCGGATCCTAAAGCATGCACCGACAATCAAAATAAATAACAAGATCAAACGGTCTTCTGGAATTCCAATATTCCGTGTTCCAATATTTGCAACATGAGCTCTATATGGTATTAGAAAGTGAACTTCGTACAGAATGATTGAATTATTTACAGGTCTGTGATTGAATCATAAAAACTCAATTATACTCAATTAGTCAATAAAGTGACTCTGGGATCATCACATCAATCATAAAAAGGAAGGTTCCATCAGGTATCCACTTTAAATTATTGAAATAGCAAAAATAATCGTTCCACCATCTGTTGAAGTTTCTGTAGCCCCCTGAGTCTGGCGTGTAACAAAACCGCAGTAGATCAGCCAAAGCTTGGTCAAGCAGA